AGTCAACCGCGTCCTGCCCCCCCCCCCCCCATGCTGTGAGCGGCAGCGCAGAGACTGCGCTCCCCCGCTCCCTATCTACAGGAAGGGCAAGCGCATCGAGTCAACAAGGTATATAGGTGTCCGTCTTCGCACCTTCGAACTAAGTTTCTCCTTTCTTCCCATCAAGAAACTCCTCTCCACTCTGCCCCCTAGCCCCCGCCCCATCTCACCCCCTTTCCCTCCCCATCCCGGTCTCTCACCGTCTAGCCAAGGTAGCTACCTCTATCTCAACATGCGAGCCTCCGTCCGATCTGCTCTCATCTTCGCCGTGGCTGCCCTTGCAGCTCTCCAGGTGGCCCAGCCTGTTTCGGGTCACCTTGTCGACCGTGAGGTCTTCGAGAACGTCACCCCCACCCTTTACGACTACTCTCGACGTGACGCTGCCGCCACCGCTGTTCCCTCGTCGACCAGCTCGACTGCTGGCCCCGCCACCGCCACTCCCGGTACGGGCTGCAAGGCCAACAGCGACTGTGCCACTGGCTCGTGCTCGGCTGGCAAGTGTGTGCCTCAGATCGGCACTGGTGTCAAGAACTCGTTCTGCGACAGCGACGCCCAGTGCACCGCCTCGTCGTACTGCTACCGTGGCTCGTGCCAGGAGATCAAGCAGACTGGCTCCAACTGCTACAAGGACTCGGGCTGCTCTTCGGGCAGCTGCATTAACAAGAAGTGCATCAACAACGCTTCGCAGAAGAACGGCTTCACCTGCACCCGTTCGGACCAGTGTGTCAACGGCTCGTTCTGCTCCAACGGCAAGTGCAACACTGTCCAGCCCGCCAACTCGTACTGCTACAAGAACCAGGGCTGCACCAGCGGCATCTGCGTCAACAACAAGTGCTCCTCCAAGGGTCTCGCCAAGCTCGGCCAGTACTGCACCGCCAGCAACAAGTGCCAGTCCAACTTCTGCTTCAAGAACGGTTGCCGTGCCAAGCGCGCCAGGAACCAGCCTTGCTCTCAGAACGAGACCTGCATCAGCAACAGGTGCCGCAACAACCGCACGTGCGCTTAAACCCACTCGCATTCAGCTAGGCGGTGTCAGAGATGACACTCCCCCTTCCCTCCTCCCATCCTCCCCTCCCCTCCCTCTCTCCCCCTTTTCCCTTTTTGGTTTCGACTTATTCCCTTATCAGTCCGATCGACGGGCACTTTTACCCGGGGCTTCGCTAGGCATTCACAACAGTTGGGAATTCCACCCTTGTTCTGGTCTCCCTGCCACGGCTCGAGTGTGACTGTGACTGAGCAGTGAGATTCGATCAGCAGCGTAAAACGAAACAATGCGGACGGCAGGGAAGTGGATGTTGAGGGCTGGAGCGGCTCGGTCAAGGCTGCGTGGCGATGCATTTTTGTTCTGGCTTTGAAGGTCTCCTGACGAGGCCGCGCAACTGCCGTATTCGGCCAAGTGTCAAACACTGCAACCGAGACAGGCATCAAAATGATTTTCTTTGCAGTAAAAAGATTAAAAAAAATGCCAAAACAGGCACCGTCCAGGCCGAGCCGAGCTGCCGAAATCTGCACGCTGCACGGTAACGCCGAAGCTCCGTTTGCGGAGTTGGATTCATGCCAATCGACCTCGTCGGTCACTCGGCGCTGGGCATGGTTGGCATGATCGACAAAACGATCACGTTGCGTCCTCAACCGCGGTACTGCGTCACAAGCATACAGCCCCACCACATCGGATCCGACCATTTCATTCTCCCCGAATCGATGTTGTCCCGATCCCATTTTTCCACTCGGGCAAAAGACGGTGGAAAGGCGGTGACATTTACAACGACGAGAAACCATGCGAGTATGGGCAGAGTGGAATGACATGCGATGAGCTCTAGGAACGAAGGTCTGATGAGGAAACAAGGATACAGCCTGGGCGTGTGGGGGTCGCTTATGGCTTCGACTTGATGGGCGCCGGAAGGGGCGCATAGTGCATGAGCGTGGGGCGGTAGGTGATGAACGCCTCGTGGGCGATCTCGATGGCCTTCTGCAGCGTCGAGGGTACGATGGTGCCTTTGAGCCTGTTGAGAGTGGCGCCGTATAGGCAGCTGTCGGAGTCGCTGTTGTCCTCGTCCACAGTGGTATACGGCGGTGCGTTTCGCGCGTAGACGTTGGGGCTGTAGTAGATCTCGCCCGTCTGTCGGGGGACAAGGAAGCCGCCGTGGAACCAGAACGGCTTCTCGCCCGCCGCGTTGTCCTTGTGCTTGGAAGCGACACTCTTCCTCGACCTCGAGTCGTGCGACTGGAAAAGTGAAAAGTACTTGCGCGAGAGCTTTTGATGGGCCGCCTGGGGCGAGAGGAACTGGAGCGTCCTCGGCGAGCAAAGCTGCGGCGAGTGGTCGTCCCATTCTCCATCGAAGCGTCCGATCGCTCCCGGCCAGGTGTTTTCGAAGGCGTATTCAATGTCCGAGAGTTCAAACGCCAGCCAAAGCGCCTCGCGCATCATGTCGACGTACGAGCCCCAGAAGAGTGCGCGCGCCATCTTCCTGCGCATCCATGCGTTCATCAGCAGCGCCGACAGCACTCCGGGTCTCGACTTGTCGAGCACCACCACGTCCATGTCCATGCGCGCACCGATGCCGTGCGAGAAGAATGCACTCTCCGCAAGCTGCTGCGATGGCGAGCCTTGGTCGATCTGACGCTTGAGGAACGAGACGAGGTACTGCGATGCGCGATCCACCGGCTTCGCTTTGGCCCGGAAGAAGAGCGTTCCGGTACTTGCGAAGGTAGGATGCGAGAACAGCAGGGATGGGTTCTGCAGGAAGACCACCTCGGGATCCACAATGAGGATCTCCTGGAACGACGATGCCAGCAGAGCTAGCGACTGGCGCTCCCACGTCACCTTGAGGCCAGGGTAGCGGCCGGCATCGTCTTCGAGATCGCTGTTGAAGTAGGGCAGCGTGTCGATGTTGAACGCCGACACGCGGCCGAGTGTCTTGAACATGTCCACCAGGCCATTGGGCAGCTCGTCCTCGGTGTGGTAGTAGATTTCGATCGGAAGGAGGCAGCCATGCAGCTGACGAAGCACCGTGATGGTCTGCAGCGCAGCCAATGCAGTGTAGCGTGATACGACCATCACGATGCCTCTCGACTTTCCACCCTGAGCCGCCTCCTCGAGTTCGGCGGCTGTGAGCAGAGCCGCCGTCTGGTTTGCAGATAGTCTACCTGACTTCTTGAGCTGTGCGCTGACTCTAGCCTGTACCAGATCCTCGACAGGTTCAGCTGCCTTCGGACGGATTCGCAGCGCGGTGCGACGGATCTCTGCGACTGCTGGCGCATAAGACCAGAGGTGTTCCTCGATGCGCTCGAGTCTTCCGATCTGACCGGTCCTCGCGAATTCGGCGTAGGCATGAGCGCGAAAACCCATCTCGCGCAGACCGTACCTGTCGTCGATCTCGACGGGATGTGTGGCGATATAGTCGGTCCAGATGTCGTGCGCGGCCGCATCGAGCGCTCGGACGCGCATGCCAAACATAGGCGAGAGCGTCGGCTCAAAGTATAGCACCACGCGCGTCAACCAAACGATGGCGACGAGCAGACATAACGCCCTGATCTTGCTCCCCCAACCGCGAAGCTTGATGGACAGCGACTTTGGACCGTTCTGAGCTCCCAGAAAAGTGGAGAAGTTGGCCACGACCATCTTGGCTCCGTGTGTGGAAATCAATTCGCCTACAGATGGGTCGGCTCGCAGCAGGTACAACGGATGACTGGGGCGCGGATGGACTGGAGCTTGATGATAGCGAGGGAGGGATAGGGCAAGTGATGGTGGAAAGGAAGCCGGCGAGACTTGCAAGAGCAGAAGTGTTGGTCTGCATGTGGTCTGCGGTTGCGCTGCTTCTTCCCGTGTGTTGCTCTGAAAGCCTCAGCTCGCTGCGGAGAGAAGACACGGTGGCCGGCGTTGAGCCCTGGCTTGGATAAATGCGAGCGGAAAAAAAATAAATTGAATTCCGAGAAGGACAGGATCGGCAGGATGCATGACCAAACTCGGCACCACCAGAGCGATGGCCTGCGCCCAGGGTCGCACCGACGGCGACTGGAGCGTAAGACCTTGAGTAAGGCCACCGAAAGGATGGCTTCGGAATTCGTCGCCTTCAATGCTATCTTGCACGGCGACAAAAGGGGCCGTGGAGGGTGAAGCCGGAGCCTGGTCGCCTTGTGCTCGTTTCAGCTTCTGAGAAAAAGGAAGAAAAGGAAATGAAATTGCCCTTTTTGGAGCTCCGAGCGCTGGCAGCGAGACCGAGCAAACGGCACACAACCAACACAGAGCCGTGCCTGAAGAGGAACAACGCCAAGTGGAGGCTCGGAGCTGCTCTCCGGACTCGGCTTGGCCGGCACCGAGCTAATTTTGCGCTGCCCCTCGGCCGCCGTGTATACTGTACTATCAAGCATTGTGCTTCTTTCCACGGCCTCAGCTTGTGCGCAGAATCGGCGCTACCTATGTATCAGCACGCATCCAGCATGCTGTACTGCTCACAGTACTGCTTGGCGGAGAATGGCGAGGACAGTGTTCGTGCAGGATGATTTGCAGGTATCTGCAGCTGGAACGGGCCTATCTTGCAGCAAGCTGCCGTATCAAGCCATGCACCAGTGCCAGTGGCCTCGACCGACAAGAGATAGACAGCAAAGCGGGATCCGTCAAAGCCACATGTGGGCGCCATGTGCCTGTCGCCGCGGCTCCAGCCGTCTGCATTTGTCTGACAGCAAATGCACTTTTCCAACACCGGCTTGAATTTGCAAAAAAGAAAAAGGCCTTTTTTCGGGCGGGTGGCACTCGGCGACGGGAGCAGCGTGGAAAAATCGCAGCGCTCGTCGTGGTGCCGGTCAGCCAGCCAGGCAGCGGGTCAGGCGATAGCGCTGCATGTATGCAATGAAATCGTAATTCGCCGAGGCACAGCTTGCAGCACCTGCCAACCAGCCACCCGCAAGGCCCACGCGAGCCAAAGCGACCGCGGACCCTGAGCCTGGACGACGTTGGTGGGTTCATGCACTTCGGTCGCACCTTCCCGTGCCTGCTTGCCAGGCCAGACGAGGCTCGGCCTTCCGGTTTTGGTCCGGTTTTGGTCCGTTGGAATCGGTCGCACCATGCAGGTGTGAGAGCCGAGCCGTCAGCCCCAAGTGTTGCTCTTGCCTGAGAAGAGTTGTGCGTGACCGTGGTCGGTCTCGTGGAGATTGCCAGGACAGCATGCATGGGCTTGCCGGTGGACACTCTGTGTTGGGCTGTCTCATGTCTCGACGCATCTTTTTTCCAGCTCCTTCTTGCCTCCGCACCAGCCTGCATGTGTATGCTTCTCTTGCTCATTGCTTCGACTTTCCTCATCACCATCATCTTTGACAAGTGTATGGCTCGAGTCGTTACGGCTGTCCAAAGCCTGCGTTAGCATCCTCGCGCCCTCGTCACACCATGGTCAGGAACAAGCCATCTTCGTTTGTCGGCGCCGTCGAGGCGACCGATAGCCTCCTCGGCGCCCGCCCCGCCAAGCCTGCTCGAGCTGCTTCATACGACATCAGCTTGCCTGTGGGAACCTCGCAGCAAGATGCGCATGTAGTCTCGGAGCAGCCTCATCCAGAGCCACGATTGGTGGGACGCAAGCCGACCACGCCTACGACACCGACATTCATCTTGTCGCCATCGAGTCTCTTTGGAGGCGGCCAGGACAAGGCGGGAGAGCCCATGCTGCTTGGAGGCTGGAGCCGTAGCAAGGGGCCACAGGTCAAGCAGAGGCCTTCGCTCCACCGCCCGTCGAAGCTGCTTTCGGACAATACCAACACGGACGTCTCTTCGCTTGCATCGTCCCACGAGAAGGAACACCCTCGCTCTGGTCGCGGAGGTTTGTGGGCGTTGCTTCCATTCTCGTCCACACGCGATGGCGGCAAGCACAGCAGAAGTCTCACGATGAGGCGTCTGTGCTCCTCGTACAAGTCGCTCATTGCGTTTGTGCTGCTGGTCGTCTTGTTCGTCAGGATGCTCTTTGCGCCTTCGCACGACCTCGAGAGGGGCGTCAACGGGCAGATCGCCAAGCACAAGGCAAGCGATGCGGTGTTCTTGAATAGCTGGATCGAACACGTGATTCACCACCCCGTGCGCGCGCGCGACAAGACCGGATTCGCAGAGATGGGTCTGAGGACCGAGATGTACTCGCATCTGCTGCAGCATCCGACGCTGCCCAACTTTGACCGCATGGAGCGCGCGCTCTGGCCGTTTGTCCCCGGCATCAACCAGCTGCGTAGGTGGTGGCAGGCGTCTGTCCAGGCAAAGCCAATGCCGTACTCTGCAGCCTCCGATAAGAGCACAGGTGGGCACTCGAAGCTCATGTCGCGCGCGTTCGGAGCGAGTGCAGAGCGACAGCGCGGATCGCGCGGCATCGTCATGTCGCTCGGATACAAGGGATCCGTATTTGCATCCCAGTTCATCTCGGTCATCCGCGACAAGCACAAGAACAATATTCCCATCGAGCTGTACTACTACGGCGACTCGGATCTGCCCGCCAAGTACCGCAACTATCTGACCAAGACGTACCGCAATGTGCGCTGCATCGATCTCGAGTCGCTCGGGCTGTTTGATCCGGATCTGGTGCAGCTCGAGCGTCAGGGCTTTGCGATCAAGCCGTTCGCGGTGCTTGCCACCAACTTCACCGAGGTCATGCTGGCGGATGCCGACGCGATCCTGCTCGAGGATCCGGACCACTTCTTTGAGGAGCCCGGGTACATTGACACGGGTACACTCTTCTTCCACGACCGCGACCACCAGCGCGACGGCGTCAACACGATCGTGCACGACTTTATGAACAATCAGCTCTCGCTGCGTGGGCCGTCACCCAGGCTGGCGCAGAGCGAGTTCTGGAAAAAGAAGGGTATTTTCGAGCAAGAGTCGGGCATTGTGGTGGTGGACAAGCGCAAGACGGACGTGTTTGCCGCACTGCTCTTTACGGCGTGGCAGAACATGGGCGAGATCCGCAAGAAGACAACGTACCGCATCTGGTGGGGCGACAAGGAGACGTTCTGGCTGGCCTTCGAGTTTTCGCGCTTCCCGTATTACTTTGTACCGCGATATGCGCAGGCCATCGGCTCTGCTCGAGTCCGAACCAAGGCCGAGAGGCAAGCTGCGATCGCAGCGGCCAAGGCGAAGAAGGCCAAAGCCGAGGGCAAAGTTGAGGAGCACGACAGTCTCGCTGATGCGCAGGACGACGGGTCCGAGGGCGAGGTCGAGGAGCTGTGTTCGGAGCATCCGCTGCACTTCCTCGGTGCGGATGTCGAGGACAACAATGGCGACGGCGAAGTGGACGCCATGACACTTGGGCGACCGGCTTGGTTCAACGGCGGCATCCTCGACTCCAAGGTGGACAGTGACGAGGTGTACATTGCGCCCAATGCGTTTACGCTCGATGGATCGTGGGAGTTCTTGTTTGACGAGGAACGCTGGTGCATCCGCAACTACACGCGCGGCAACATGGATCAGTTCCACCTCACGCCGCGCATCGACGAGATCAAGGCCGTCGCTGCCAAAGCCGAAGCCCATTTCCGTGCCAAGATCCCCAAGACCACAAGTGCCAAACAGGCAGCACTCGAGTAGAACCACCCGCAGCACGCGCACATAGAATCGGAATCGCAGTCAATCTTTCATACACTTCATGGCATGGCAGTGTGGATTTAGACGGCGGGCTCCGGTTTGACCGCAAAGTCCTTGGCGACTGGTACATCGTCGTCATCCGAATCTGCGTTTGCGCCGCTGGTCCTCTGCTTCTTGTTCGCCGCCTGGGCGTCTTCGGCATCGGCCTGTCGCTTGCGGTAGACTGTCGAGGCCGGATCCTTTTCTGGATTCATGCACAGTTTCTGGCGCTTGTCGATCTCTTTCACCCGGTCCACGTCCTCTGCGCCCTTGCCCTGGCCCGTATATCCGCCCGTCTCTCTGGTGTCGATGAGCGCGTTGATCTCGTCGAGCGTGCGTGTGAGCTCGTCGATCGACATGCCGAGCGGGTCCGCTTCGATCTGAGCGTCGTCAAACTCGACGTTCTGCTGGGGTGTGGCGGCCGCCGCGGCGAGCTGCTCTTCGACCGCCTTGGCGCCTGCTTTGCCTTTGGTTCGGCGTGCATGTGCGATCTTGGCTTTGGCGGCGCGTGCGGTCTCTGCATCCCGCAGCGCCGTACGGCTTGCCTTGGCAGCGAGAGCAACAGTGCGTGCACGCGACTGCTTGGCATTGATCCAGCTGTCGACGATCTTTGGGTCGGGTGCGGCGCCGCGCACGCATGCGAGTGCGATCTGCGAGGGCGTGTAGACGAACTCTGCATCTGTAAGTCGTGATGTCGACAGCCGAGCATGTGCGGCGGCTGCGATCTTGTGCAGCTCCTCCCTTGCCGGCGCCTGATTGTCGGGGAGAGATTGAAGGTCGAGGAGCAGCCCGTACAACGCGCGGTGAGCG